TTAATCAACAGACAAACTTTTAATCATTTAAATTATCTATAAATTAGATCATTTTGCAAAATGTATCACTTTTTTGTATTTTGAACTAAATTTTATGGACAAAAGGAGTGCTTTTGTTTTTGATTGTTTTATTATTTATTCAGCATTTTTAAGGAGAAGTTATGCAAAACTTGTAAAACAGCAAACATTCATAGCTTTTTGAAAATCATTTCAATAAAAAAAATAAACTTCAAAACGCTTAATCGTTGGATTAAGATTTACTCACTTCAATGCAATGCAAACGCTATTATATTTGAATTATAATTGAAATATTATTCAACGCTATTATAATTGAAAGCTAAATAGCACTTAAAATGCAATTAAAAAACACTTTCCATTGAATTCAAGAATAATGAAAATAAAGATGAGTTCACAAAAGATGCTTCAATTGGCGCTAACATTAAGTTTATTGGTTTTGACGGTCAATACGATTAGAGTTCAATCGCAGACCAGAGAGCAAATCGCCAAACGTTTGGTGAAACTGTTTTTAGCGTCGGCTATACTATCGCCTCCCGGTGTAGTCCCCCTTCCAGTTCCGGTGCCTCTCTTTAAAACACCTCAACATCGGATCAGTCGTGTTAGTCGACCCTTTCATCCATACCCACCGATGATGCCATTCCTGTGAGTAAAATACTATTTCTTTTGACAATTGTTTAAATTGGCATTCATTGTATTGACTCTGCGCTTACTATCAATTAATTTTAGACCATTTTATTAATTTTGAACAGAAGTGAAGAATATCACCATTTCTTACTGCCATCGCTAAAGAGATTTTAACACCTATTCATTCATTTAGACATTAAATATAGTTTATTCATCAAAATTAGTTTTCATTTCTCCACATTTTGTTTTGTTATTTAAGCTAAATATTTATGTGAATATTAATTAGCCTTTTGTTAATCTTATGATTAATATTATTAAATATTATAACAATCATATTGTTTATCCAAAGGCATAACTTTAATGTGTTTTATCCATAATTATGTTTTGTTTATTAAATTACTGCCACAACAGTATATTTAATATACATATAAAATTTTATAATAAAAATGAACAAAATATTAATAAATTAATTTAAAATAATTTTAAGTTATAGTTAGGAAAGAGACCACAAGAAAGTGATTTATCAATTCCTTGCACACAATAAGTGATATATTATATCCTTTAGATTCGCCGTTAGATTTCTGGAGGGTTTGGAAAATACAACAAACAAATAATATTTTAGTTATGCTTTTAAAATATAATTAATTGTATTTTATCACTCATTTGTCCGATTTTTTTGCATCCATTCATTCATTAATTCTTCAGAAGAAATGCTGTCAAATATAACTTATTTTTGATGTGCTTTTCTGTGTATTAAAAACTCAAATAATTGCTAAATATTTTGTTGTTGTGAATAAAAACATTGAATATCATTGAAAATGTCATATTAATAATATAATATCGGTTTTTAATACAAATGTTAGACACAATTTTGCGGAACTAATAAAATTTTGTTGTAAATTCGCATTAAATAAAAATTGTAACAATTTTTTAATACAATAATTAATAAAATATGTATTTCTTAAAACAAAAAATATCGTATATTTTATTTGAAAGTGTTTTTGTGTGTAAAATTCAAAACCGAGTTTTCGCAGCCAAATAACGGAACATAAAAAGTTTTGGCAAACTTTATGTACTTTTCATGCATTAGTCGAGTGGATGGATAGTCAGGTTGGGTCTCAACCCCGGAGAGCAATGGTATGACTTGTAAAGTAGGCCTAAATAAAAGCGTTAACGCTTTCACTGGGACTTCCCATACAAATGTTATGTAACATATCATTTCTCTTTCGTTTGTTGGCCTCATTCTCGACCATCTGATGCCCACAACTACTCCCCATTCAATAAGACGTCGAGTCAAAGAGCGGGCGGGAGCTCTCTCTCTCTCTCTCTCTCTCTCTCTCTCTCTCATTCTGTTTCCCTCTGAATATCACTATAAAAGAAAGTGAAAACATATTCATTCACTCATTCATTCAAATATTTAATCATTTTTCATATTTTCTAAAAAGTGAACGTTTTTTAGAAAAAGTATTGATATTTGGTTTACATTTATTCTCCAAAAAGAGTGGGATTTTATGTTCAAAAAGTAGTGAAAATGAGAATAAAGTTATACTTATGTGTGATCTTCGCGTTCATCGTTTTGAGCGCTTATTTCTTTCAAGAGGGAGAATGCGGTAAAAAGAAGAAACTGCTAAAAGCGGCCAAATTTCTGTTACTCGGAGCCGCTCTCAAGTCCAAGAAGACAATCCTTCCCATTCCTATACCCGTATGTTTACCACTAATTTCCTTATTATGCAATCTTTGCATTACATTTTGCTCATTGATGTCCATTTAGATCCCGTTTAAAGTGGAGAGACATGTGTCTCATGCATATCCCGAACCTGTGCCCTATCCCGTCTATAGGCCATATCCTGAGCCCGTATTGTAAGTATTATTTTTAATACAATATTGATTTATACTTAAACATTGAATTGGAAAAGCATTTGTGACTTAAATTATAACAGCTTTTCTATATCTTGTTATGTAAGACTTAAGATAATCGGATTGGGTTTACAGTACTTAAATAGTAATAGTACTTGTTAAATCATATGACATAATGCATATGTCGTAGGGTATCAATATTTAAGTAAATATTTAGATCATATTTCCGCACATTTATTAAATTCTCAACAAGATCAGATATTAATAAAACTAATAAATGTTGTGCTTCTTAAAGGTTAGCAAATTATCTGTTTGTTTATCAAATAATAATTACTATTTTATAAAATTCATATTTTTAAAAAAGTAGTTTAGTATAAAATCATATTTTAATTAATGTGAGAAATTATTAAAGTTTTTTAAAACGGTTTACCAATGAATTTGATAATAAAACGCCTCTAGGTTGTTTACAAATAAATCAGTGCATTAATTGTGAATTTACTTAATTAAACGATAAATTGAATTGATTTTTTTGTTAATTACTGAGCATTCAAAACTTAAATGAATTAAAAACATTAATTATGTCAATATCTGTTGATAGCAATCGCGGCATTTGTAAAATGAATTTACTATTTATAAATACATATAAAATGATTATTATTTTCCTATTTCTAAACGATTTGAAGACTACTTTCATTAACATGTGTTTATTACATAATACTGTATACAGTATTCTAAAATCTTCGGTCAATTTTTGCGATTTTAACAAGAATTTTAGGCAACTTTGAAAGTTGATAGACGAGAGAGAGAGAGAGAGAGAGAGAGAGAGAGAGAGCCTGGGCTTCAAGGGCATCGCTTGTGTTTCATTCACACGAATAACAAGTTATACTGTTATGGGTGAGAGAGAGAGAGAGAGAGAGAGAGAGAGAGAGAGAGAGCTTGAATTTGGTGAGCACAACTTTACCATAAGCTAAAATGTGTTGAACAATAGTTGTGCCGCAAAAATAATACGGTCCTAATGTTGGGAAATGTAGGTCAGAGTTAGATAAATATGAGCCCTCATTAATGATATGGTCTAACTTATGGCACAAATAGTTGGCATCACATCGACTAACACCACAAACATTGTGTTTCAGCCAATGGTTTCCCTAATGAAACCTAATAAACAATATATATTTGTTATGTAACTTAATTTCATAACGAATTAATTCTGTGATAAATTAATGTAAATACGATTATTCGGTCAATAATCTTAATAAACAGTCAATTTAGTGGAAACATAGACTTGAAATCAGTTCATTGTTTTCCCCAAAAGTGCGGAAGTGTTAGCAATTGATACTAAAATGTTTGCTTCAATTTCTCGCAAATTTATACGAAAAAGCAAAACAAAAGAAAATATTTCAGATTTCACCGATTCTTATAGTATTTAGTATTTAATATTCATAATAATATTCATGCAATTAATAACTGGATTATTATAATAATTGAATTATCATTTCTTTGTATAGTATTCACGACAGTTATGGTGGTTATCACGACAACTACTGGTAAATCATATTACTCTACATTAAATCATTAAAACACTAACATTTGGTGATTAGATATATTTATTCACATATTATTTATTATAATTCCCTTAATTGGCAATATTTGTTTTTATATTTACAGAAGTCATTTGAAGCATATTTAAATCAATCATTTCGTGTATAAACGTTGTCATTGTCTAAAATGGTATACAAATTAATTTACTGAACTTTTTATATACAAAAATCATAACTATTTTACAAAAGACATCAAATTATATAAATTCATATTTTCGATAATTTAGAAAATAATAATTTATTACTTTAAAAGACTATCATTTAATGGTTATTAAATTGAATTACATTTATAATAAAGTGGTATTTAGGTATTATTTAATGCTATTAAATAAAATTGGTTGAAATATTTGTTATAATAATTGATAATTGTCTTTAGTTTTTAGGGCCTTATTGTCAACTAAACAGCTCATCAGAAAGTGTCGGAAAACCCAAACATTGCACTAATATTTAGTGTTAAAAAACAATTTTATGATTGTCTTCACGCCATTCACTCTCTCTATTCAAAAAACATCTCTCTTTTACTCCTTTCCTCTTTTTATTCCCAATATTGACCTGAATTTTCATATAATCAACATTTAATTTATATAAAAACTATATGTAATGTCCCATAACTTTACACAATATAATGGATGAATTACTACCGGTGCCTATTTGTCCTACACTAATATTTTAATTTAATTATTACACTTTACAATACGATAAACTTATTGTTTTTTGTTTTTGGAATAATTATTCTCAATATTATGTAACACTTATATTATTTACTATTAAATTATTTTAAAACTATTTACCAATTATTATATCCGACAAATTTATTTAATACATATCTATTTAATTATATTTTATACATTTGTAACGTGAGCTCCATTTAAATTTTTAATTACACTAACAAATTATTGTAAACACATTTATATCTAATGAATCTCAATACAAAATCTCTTTACATTAATTATTTATAATTATAAATGTTTAATATCGGTAATTAAGTGCTCATCGGATATATCCGATATTCATTGCCTTTAAATTGTGTCAAAACTTGAAGAAACATATATACAGTACATATGTATTCATTATTAATATTTAATAAAATTAAGTTATAATCTGTAATTTATAATCACAACCATTAATAAAATTATATTTAATTAATTTAAAAAATACACGACAATGTGTAAAATAAATTGCAAATATTTATTAATGAGAGATCATAAAAAGATGCATTTTATGAAAATATATTATTTTATGAAATAAATTATTTTAAATAATCAATAAAATTATCAAAATGTAAGCAAACAAACAAAAAATTGTGACTAAAAGTAGTTCCTCCAGAATAAGCGATGTTTTCGACGATCACTTCCTTCTTCGTTGTATTTGTGCGATAAGATATGGCGGCACCTGATTGTGGACAACCAGTCAATCAATCATTAATAAATCATTTCAATAATGGTATAAAATATTATATAAATTTTTAATTTACATGAAAGAGCACTAAATGGTTAAAAATGAGAGTTTTTGTGATATAGAAGCTGTCTTTCGCTCTCTCCATAATAGACTCCATTTCTTTCATTCCCTCCATTTGTTTGGATCTCTTCTTTAGGGCCAAATCTGGGAACAGATTGGGTGCCATAATTGTGGCGATATTATTAACAGTCATTTTATTTAGCTGTTCGTGATTTGCGATATCATTGAATAAGTATAAAATCGCTTCCAATGTGTTTCGATGGCTATCATTGATGAGTAGAATCAATAGATTTAAAACTTGGATTTGTTGAAGAAAATCAGTTATTTCTGCAATAATTTCGTATAAAAAAGTTTTTGTTAGATTTGAGTGAATGTTAAACAAACAGCAAATATTGAATACTTGGCACTAATATGAAGGCTTCGAGGAGGTCTTGGGTGAGGAGAGGATCCGGCAGTTCTCGTATGAATTGCTTGAGAACACTGCAGATGTCATAAATGTTGTATTTGTTTAAAACGGTAAATATCTCTTCAGTGCTCTCTCGGGAAGAGTTGTTGTAATACAAGTGAAACAGTTTTTCCAACTCTTGTTTGAGTGTCTAAATTGAATACAATTGTCAATAAGTATCACAACAAACATAACAACAATAAGTGAATGCAAGTGACGGACCATTACTCTGTTTTGCGACCCATTAATCCTAAAGATCCCTTCCTCGTGGAGACCATTCATTCGGATGTAATTAAATAACTGTTAAATGAATGGAAAAATTTAATACATTTTATTTCTCACTATTTGTTAAATAAAAACTTTCGTATATTTACGGTATTTAATATGAATGGTAGACTAGAATTGGTGTTTCGTCGGAGGTCTGTGTTGTACAAGTGCTCGAGTGGGACACCAAACACAACATTATCCGAGTTTTCTATTCAATTCAATACAAATTATTATAATGTTATCATAGAATT